TGACGGTCATGGCGCTGGTGAATCAATCATGGTTATTGCTCGAGGCGGTGGCGAAGATGAAAAAGCTTCAATTCGCAGGTTCACCAGAATCATGTTGAAGTCCGATCTGCTAGCGGCGTCTGAAAACCTTCCTCAAGTCGCTGGTGACGCTACATCTCGATCTCTTTTTGGTGGACCTAGCCATACACCTATTCCCTCATCCGCTTCGGAAGCGAGTAGCCTGCCTCCGTCCAGAACTTCCAATTACCTGAGTGATACAGTCTGCTCGGTTGCAAACACAGAATGGCGCATGTCAGACTTTGTCTTCGGCGACCGAAAGTTCGTCCGAATTACTACAAGCGCCTTGGATCTTTCCACTTATGCCATCCTGACGGCTGACGAGGATCCACTCTTGGGGATGTCTGGTAGCTCAGCCTTCTCTTCGGCCATGTCGTCTCCGTTACCCCACATGAAGCAGTCGTCCTTGAACCCTGAAGTGCCTGGAAAACGAGGACGATACCTGGCTGTTGGTACTGCCACAGGGCTAGTGTTCGTATGGGATATACGGGCGCCCTCGGCCAGGAGTACCGATATCATCAACTCCATCTCCCCGCTAAGGATTATTCAAACCGACTCACCACAGGTATCATGTGTTGCCCTGACATCCTTATATTTGGTGCACGGTGGTAACGACGGACTTGTGCAAGCATGGGATCCCCTTGCCTCTACCACACGGCCTATTCGGACAATTAACTCGCGATTTTCTTCCAGAGCTCGTCGCCGATTAGTGCAAGCAGAAGCCTCCATGCATGGAGTTGGCAATAACTTTTTCGCATGCGGAGCCATATGCCTTGATCCGGATCCGACTGTGCTGAGAGGCATGGTTGCTCTCGGCACGCACCTGCGGTACTGGGCTTATAGCTCCTCTGGCGCAGATCAATACAAGAGTAGTAAGCGTCGACTTCGGCGCGGCCACAGGGGCAGCAACATCACTGCTGAGGGTCAACGATTTAGTAGTAGTGGCCGTGGAGCACTAAAGGACTACATAGAGGACGAAAGGGTGGAAATGGAACGACAAAAAGTGGTCGACGAGAAGAAAAGGGCGCATCTCAGCAACCGGTTTGGTGTCGATCTATTGGGGCCAGACGTCAGCGAGGAGCAACTTCTCGCCTACGCACAATTACTGAGCGAAGAAGCTTTCGCTACTGAAGCCCTTAAGCGTGGTGAAGCGGCCGATAACTCGGTGGTCAGCACCTCTCCAAGTGACACTATCGGTCGGAATGATAGTTCCGTCGCAGCAGACGACTATTCATCCTCATCCTCTCCGTACCAGGACACGGTCGACGATGATCTTGCACCGGATATTGCTGAAGCTATCCGCCTGAGCTTGCTCGAGGAGGGTTCTTCCCAGGAAAACCCCTCTTTTTCGTTGAAGTACTCTAAGAAGTTTCAATCGAGTCACGGCGACATTTCACCATGCGAACTGGCTGTTGCTGAAAACAGTCGCCAGCAAGAACTCGACGATCTGGAGCTTGCCATTCAGTTGAGTCTTGCGGAGAGTCAGAGTGTTGGGCAAGCAGAGAGGCAGCAACACGAAGAATATCTTTCGCGGAGTGCATTCTCACCGACCTCTGACAAGGGTAAAGGCAAAGGAAGAGCTTTGTAGATGAATCTTCTTTGTGTTTTGTTTTCTGAGTGATTTTAGACTTGGTTTTTTTCTTCGATTATTGAATCTAACTAATCTTTTACATATTGACTACATAATCTTGAGTAAGTTCTCGTGCACCATTTACGAAGCATAGGGGCATACAGTCGGTTGTATCCAAGTTCATACAATCAATTTGATTCTGTTCCGAAAGATCACGTCGAGCACAATGTCGATTTGGCCCTTTCGATTTTTTCGAACTTTGCCATTTATCTAGTATGCACATAAGTATTTCCTAGTAAATATTGAAGTCATGAAATTTCATATCAGATAACAAGATGTCATAGCTACAAATAATAATAAAGCCAAGTTCTACAAGCAAAGTATATATGTTCTGCACATGAATGGACTGTTTTTGAAAGTCCCAGGGAGCGGCGAGGTCACATGACCGCTTTGACGAAGACAAAAATGTTCTTAAATATTTAGCAAGAATACAAATCAGGTGACAAGAATATTAACCGATTACAGCATGAAGAGCGCCATGAACGAGGCAGCAGACAGCAGGCCAACGAGGGGCACGGAAATCGTGCCAGCGGCACCCTCCTTCTTGTCAGAACCGGACGAAGACGAGTTGCCGCTCGAGCCGGAAGAACCAGAAGTTGAGCCCGAGGTGTGAGCGCCAGGGGCATTGGACTCACCGCTGGCCAGGACAGTGAGCTTGATGCCGGTGATCTCCTGGCCGTCGGCGTTGTAGATCTTCTGCGAGATGGCGGTAGTTGAGACATCGACGAGCTTGCCGGTGTTGGCGTCGGAGAGGCCACTGTCGATCATCTTCTGGACCTTGGAGGGTCTCTTGGGCAGATCGAAGGAGTCGAGGAAGGTGGAGTTGGTGATGAGGGAGGAGTCGCAGGTGGGCGGCTTGACGGAGGTCTGGGTCGTGTTGGAGGCTTCGATGCGGCTCATGTCGAGCTTGGAGTACTGCGCCATGAGGTTGTCGTAGTCGACGAGGAGGGTGGCGGTGCCGTTGTCGTTGAGCTGGACGAGACCGTAGTCGTTCTCCTCCTGGGTGTATTCGTAGACGAGACCGCCGGAGAAGGCCTGGGTCATTTCCGCGCCGTAGAGGGCCTGCACTTCGGTGAAGTAGCGGGGCTGGACTTCGTTGCAGCCGTACTCGGAGAAGAAGACGGGGAGGGAGGCATTGGCGAAGTCCTCGGTGAGGACGTCGTAGCCGCTCTTTGTGTAGGAGGAGTTGCCGCACCATGAGTAGGAATTGAGGCCGAAGAAGTCCGAGCGGGAATTGGAGTCGTCCTCGCACATGAAGTAGTTGAGGGTGTCCATGAGGATGGGACGGATATCGGCAGCAGAGTACCCAACAGGGATAGTACGGTTAAGATTTTTTGCGATGTAATCCTTCATGTCACGCTGAACAGCCTGCAAAAGTGTCAGTAGGCACGAAATCGCAAGTTGTTGGGATGGATGACATACCCGAACGTAAGCGGGAACGCTCTTGACACTCTGCTCGTTGATGACCTCATTTCCGGCGAAGAAGGCCAGGGTGTTTGGGAAGTTCTTGAAAGCTTCGATGACCCCAAAGACCTGCTGGAAATAGACATCGTTGTAGGTACTTTCAGGGTCGGTCCTGTCGAGGTATCCGCCATACAGAGGCGAGTTGACATCCAGGATCATGTAGATACCAGCTGCGTTGAAGATCGATGCACACTTGTCGTGGTTGAGACTCGGTGCCAAGTTGTAGATACGGATGGTGTTAACCTGTTTTCACATGAGCGACGCAACGAATTTGCCGAGCATCAAAACAAGACGAGTCTTACGCCCAAACGCTGCATGAGGGCGGCATCCCGCAAGCATGCATCAGGATCGCTGAGAGGATCTTTGTCCTTGGTGAAGCCAGAGGAACCGCCGGGCTGGTAGCTGTTGGAGACAAGAACGGACGATCAACAATTCCGCCTTCGAAGGTCGACTATCGAAGAAAGTAAATTCTTACTCGACACCCAAGATCTGGAACCGACCACCGGTTTCACTGTTGACAAAGTCTTTTCCCTTGACCTCAATGGGCACGACGGCGTTGGCAGTGGCCGCGAGAGCGCAGACCGCCGTGAAAAGGCGAACGTAAGTCTGCAAATCATCCCTCAGTCAATCAAGAGATCGAACAGCGCAAGAACGCTTGAATGAATGTATTGAAAATTGATGTGCGACGAACCGGAACCATGTTTGAATGTTGTAGAATAGTAGTATTGACCCGATAGCGATTAGATGCTGAACGATTGGACGGACCCTTCCACAGGAAGTGCCGGATTGAAAAGAGGGGCTTGGTTAAGGGTTCAAGGGTCTTCAAAAGAGTGACTGGAGTTAGGGAGGCGTGTGAACAGAGCAGGAGGAAGCGAACGTGTTGATTAAAAGATATAACCCGCGCGACAAGGAGAAAAGGTATGAGGACAAAGAACCAGAATCGAAGAAGGGAGTAATAGTAAGGGGAAGAGGAGTGAGCAAGATCTCCATTTTGGAAACAGATAGGGCCAAGGGCCCAAGAGTAATTATCAGCGCCCAGGAGTTAAATTAGACGATATATCAAGGCTAAAAGCTGGGCACAATGAAGGACAGTGGAGCCTCGTGAGAGTGAAACAGCATGGCCAAGCGCGCTAACAGCAGTCCGGCTCATCCACTACACCAGCGTCTCACCTCAAGGGTCAGACTGGGTTGCAGAGGCTGGGATTGGGTCATTTCGTGATATGAAAGAGTCAGACATCATGCAAGTTCGTCTTGGAAGTTCTTGGATCGTCCTGTTTAGAATCTGGCTGCCTTCGCATGAATTACAACCTCAAAGAGAAAACCAACTACTAATCGAACTTTACTATTCTTCAAAGACCGTCTTTTCACCCTGCTAGAACTACTAGTCCTTCTAAAATACAACCCTAAGCAGACCTATCGTAACGGAGGATTTCGGAGACAGAGGAACTACCGGCGCTCAGCAACCCAGAGAAATGCGGTGTCTGACCAGGTCCGGAGACTAGGAGACCGATGATAGGCGAAAGGGGAGAAATACACATAAATAGAACGGAAAAGTCATGGCGCCGAGAAATACCAAGATGGTCCGCCACATCGGCGGCCAAGACACAATGCAAATGTACAGGGGGTGGAAGAAGAAAGGGCACAGGTAGTGGAGATATTGCAAGCGTCACGAGAGAGAAATTTGAGGAAAGGAGAATCAGGTAGGTCAGTCTGGTTAAAGTGACCAGGCCACGGCCCAGCGTGGACCAGAAGCACAAGAAACACGTGTTGGAAGGCCAAGACTCCTATTGCGGGAAAAGGCGACGCGGAGGGTAAAGTACTGTGGAGGGCCACTTTCTTAGAAGGACATTTATTCGACGCCATGGTTGTCAGCACTGCCACCCTCGCCAGTGAAAGAACCCAATTTGAGACCGGCGTCCATGGCGACCATTTCGGCCAAGATCTCCAGCACATCCTTGGGAACGGTCTTGTCATATATCGAGATCAGGTCCTTGGGCTGAGGGTAGACCTTAAGAGCCTTGTAGAAGCACAGAGCAGCTTCAATCTGGTCGGAGCCTAGATGCGAAGGCGTGTGAGCTGACTTGTGTGTTGTTCACCCGGATGACTTGTGATATGATCATACCTTCGGCACAAAGAGACTCTCCGCGAGCAACTTGACCCATGAAATAGGCCTCCTTCTCTTCCAGGTCCGTCGGAAAACCTTCATCCTTGGCCTGCTGAACAGCCTTCTTAAGGGTTTCCCGCTGCATAGCTCCCTGGGCTTCTGCTTCCTCCTTGACAGCACGCGCAAGTCGACGGTTGTTCCTCTTCAGGTTTCTGCGGAACTCCGGGTCGGTCTGTCTCTTGTGGTCGAAGTACACGGCATAGGCTAAAGGATGAGTCAACTTTGATTAACACTGACACTCAGAACATGCTGTCGATGAATTTCCTCGGCACTTACCCAGAAGGCCAGTCAAGATCGTGCCGGCGGAAGCGGCCACCAAGGTTGAAGTCTTCATGTTGGTGCGGAGAGAGGATGTCTGTAATTAATTCAAAAAAGGTAGAATACAATTTGAGAAGTAAGAAGAAGACAAAATATCCTCTGATAGTTCCAACAAGGGATGGCAACCTATTCCCTTTGACAACTGGAGGTTTTGGTGACGCTCGTCTCCAGTCCTTGTAACCGGGCAGCCGCGATAATTTTGAAGCGCGGGATCATTGTTGTTCCGCCTCGGGGTTTCTGTCCCGCTTGAGCGCCCAACGGACAGCTATGACACCAGCTCGACATGTTGCTATGCTCACCCTTCTGCTCAGCTTGTTCTTAGGTTATCAAATCGATCCGTCCGCTTGTTGATCGTCTCTGTCCCAAAACATGGAAGGTCGCGGATTGACCCTCCGAAGTAAAACGCGCCGTGCTCGTCCTCAAATCAGTGCTCCGAAGCCCATATCCGGACCGCTACCACCTAACAACAAGAGTACCGATTCGGGCCAGGCCAACAATGTCTCTAACTCAGGGTCTCGCGAGCGAGCCCCCACAAATGGCGCGACCTCAGATCTAGTAAAACGGAGATACTCGACGCGATTCAACCAAGCTCCGGAATTTGATGCCAGCGCCCCCCCTGTCCCTGGTCTCCCTGCAGCAAGCAAGTATGGCGGATTGAGTCCTCCAGAAGCCAGCAGGAAGCCTTCGTCGGACTCCTCTGGGCCCCCGCAAGTTGATTTGAACGCATTGAGGGATCCAAGTCTGCCAGTAGACAGATGTGAGTCGCTGTCCAGCTTAGCTACCCTTATGGTCAGATCTCATGTAGGCTAATCAGGCATGCCAACTTGTAGATGTAGCAAACCTGCTCGCCAATGCTACGGAAGAAGAAATCGAAGAGTATCAAGCGAGTCTACGCAAAGTGAGAAACCGAACGTCCACCGACCTTCAGCAGAATGTGTACCAGAATCGCACCCAGTTCATCAAGATCAGTAAGGAGGCGGAGAAGCTTAAGGGCGAGATGCGGACACTACGCACTCTAATGGCGGAACTCACCACCGCTCTGGGCCAGACGGCTATTGGAAATGCCCCCAATCCTATATCACCGACGGCGGATGACTGGGTACCGAAGCGCAACGCGAATCGCAGTTCAGTGGCCAACCTGGAAAGCATGTGGAATGTCCAGCTTCAAACACTATGGAAGACGGTTGAAGGATCACAAAAATTCTTGCCTGTAGCTCCAGGCCGGCATATTGTGATGGAGACAGGGCAATGGGTTGAGCTGGACTCAGCCACGTGGAAGCCTAGGCGCCCCGTTCACATCGTGCTTCTGAACGATCATCTACTGGTGGCTGCGAAAAAGCGGAAGCGGGTCGACCAAAGCAACCCCAACCATCGGGGGCCGGTTCCGACGAAACTCGTCGCCGAGGAGTGTTGGCCGCTACAGGATGTTGATATGATTGACCTCGGCGCCAATCTTGGCACTGGGGCAGCCCGCGAAGAAGCCGAAGAACGGGGCATCGCGAACGCAATCAATGTCCGAGTAGGCTCAAAAACGTTCACATATCGCCACGACAAGCGGGATAGTTCCGACAAGAGCGAGCTTCTTGCGACCTTCCGAAAAGCAGTGGAGGACCTTCGGCGAACACTGCGGTCCGAGACAGAAGCGGCCACCAAGACGACTGATGCATTTGGCTATGCAGGCGTCAGACATTCCATTTCTCAAAAGGCAGACCTCCTTAATGCTTCAGAAGCTTCCCGCGACAACCCCGAAGTTCGCATTGACGTTGATGGAAAGCAACAGAATCTTCGATGGGTGGATGGACAAGTGGATGAACTCGACATCGATATCGCCCTTCAACGTTTCGAAGAAGCAGTTTCTGGCATTGAGCGGCTCAGAAAATTAGCCAGGGGCTTGAAGGGGAACTCGATTGCGCAGGAAATCATCAATGGCAAAGTTGATGAACGCGCAGCCAAGCTGGCCAGTGTCTTATCAAGAGCATTGGCTGGCACTCACTCGTTCTTGAATGCCACCAAGACGAATGTTACCTGGCTCACTCGTCTAGGCTTCGAGGACCAGGCTCGGGAGGCCTACCTGAAAGCCCGATCGGATGTGATCTCCAAACGGGTCCGGTAAGTTTTTATCGCCAGTACACCAAGCTTGAATTTATGACTAATTTGAGACGAATCTAGGGCGTGTGTCTTCGAGGGTGATCTCCCCCTCTACATATTCCAGGTTTCCTACGTCTATTTCACCTTGATCAAAAACACAATCAGCATCTACCAGCAATGCTTCCCGCCCGTCATGTCGAGTGCCTGCATCAAGTGGGCCAAACACCACTTGGACGGGTTCAATGCCCTTCTTACCCGGCAGCTCAGCAGCGTACAGCGAGGCACGACCGTCTGGCAGAAATGCATTGATATTGTACATGAGCATGCCGACTCTCTGACCGAAGTCGGTGTAGATTTTGCTGACCTGGTTGCTAAGGGGTTGGATCTCCATGATGACGGTGGCGAGAAGCCACAAATGACTCGCTCGGAGTCTCTCATTTCGGGGCTGGCGGACGCTGCACGGGACCATGGTTTTTGATAATAATACCAGGAGTTCAGGCTATGAGGTTCGAATGATTGGCGCTATTAGGATTCCTTTTCCTTGCGAGGTACTCTCTAGGTAATTTGTTGTCTTCTCAAGCTCATTAAACTTGCGACCAGACTCAAAGATAAGTCACAATTCATGCTTGCAAAGCAAGACTCTCGAATCCCTCCGCAAACTCAGGAAACCTCTGGAAGAAACTTCTATCTATTCCCCATGACCTTTGATTTCTGTAATACCGGTCAAAAAGCGGGTTCACCCGGTATTTCCTGGTGCTCTGATCATAGCTGAAGGTATTATGGAACGGAAAGGGCCAATAGAAGCGGAAACAGCGGCGGAATTCCGTAGAGAATTCGGTGGATGAACTATACTGCACTGGATTCTCGGCTAGGATCTTTCGTACATGTGGCCTGATCAATGAGCACTAAGTCCTCGTGGCTGAAGATTCTAGTATGGCTTACCATGGAAAGAAGTTAATGGTGACAGGGCATTCGGTTCCCATTTGTGAGAGTCTAACTTGGACTTAGAAGCGATACTTTGGGCTGGCAGAATGCACTCACTCTGGCTGGATCCACGAGGGCAGGTTTTTGAGGTTTCTTTTCGAAGGATTGACATAGTACTATCAGACAGAGCTCAATCAGCGCATGGCCTCGGCTATTCGGCGAGGTAACCTGCCTTGAATAAATTCAAATCCTTATACAAGATGGCCAGCCTCGTTACCTTTTGCTGCTGATAGAAAATGCGCTGGTCGATATGAAACAGGATCAAGAACAGCGGATTCTGCATCGTTTTTGCGTGTAGGGTCTCCCACCCCTCATTGATGGCTTTGAAGATCAAGCCCGGGTCAGCGTTCTCTACCTCGCGAGCATCCCCGTTGCTTATTCGGAAGACGTATTCGTAGATCTGGTTGATTTTCCGTGGGATCGGGTGCAGCATTGTCGGTGGGATTGTGATTGGTACTCTTTCTGGTCGGGGATGGATGGATGATTCGTGTGGTGTTTTGGGGTCGAAGGACAAGAGGCCCTCATAGAGGAGGGAAACGACATCTACACCTTCACCGTAGTATGCGTTGGGAGGTTCCAGAGAAATTTTACGAGAACGATCTTATTAACATGCCTGTTAATCATGTCACAGATGGGGGCTTGGTTTCAGTACCTACCGGAAGTATCATTCTCATACGACTTGTCCCCGTCCTCATCCTCTGCGACTGCGACTTTGATTGCCTCGAGAACCCGGTGCAGCTTTCTATTCTCGTTCTCGAGACGATCGAGTTTCGCTGCGAGGTCGCATGTTTCTCTCTGGGTTGAGGGCTGAAGGGACTGCACCTCCTCATCCAGCTCTGCTATTCGGGCCCTAGTTCTTTTGTACGAAGGTTTCTGTGGCTGTTCAGAATCCCATAAGCGCTTTTTAGCTGTGTCTGGAGTTTCCACTGATTCTTGTTGGAAGGTGTTGATGCTGGATGACTTGGGGGACATCGTGCGGCGATGAATTGCGATGGTGATGTGGTTTCACATGGTTGAAGAAGAAGGTCGTCCCGCTTGTTGTATCTAGCTTGTGACCGGGGGCTGTCGATCCATTTAGGATGGTCTGGGGAATGGGGATAGACTCCGTTTACCCCAAATTATGTACCTAGCGTAAGCTAAGGTTGACCCCGCCTTTAAGGGTTCTCTGGTTGGTTCAGGGAGAATCGGAATTTGAAGGGGAGAAAGGATTCATCTGCAGCAGGATCCAGCAAGAAACTAGGTATTTCCATTCTCCGTGGTCTTCTGCTATTCCGTCACACGACATTCTGAAAAATGGGGAAGCGTGCATCTGTTTGTCCATTTCCAGAACTTCCGGCAGAGTTGCGCCAGATGGTCTGGTTCGAGTGTTTGCCCTCGCGGGTATTCGAAGTCGAATGTCAACTTTTCATATCAAAAGCAACTGCCAGCTTCGGTGGGCAACAGAGAGGAATTGATGACCTTGCCTCTTATGCACGGATGCCAGAAATACAATGATTGTTAGTGAATAGCGTAGGTGTTTTTGTACCAATTCTTTTACACGAAGCTGAGTTACGGGTTTCGTTGGATCTAGAGAGCTAATGTACATGTGAGATGCGCTATATAGAATCTGTCTACGTCTATTACCAGCCAATGCTCTGAATGAGCTTCTATACCAAGACAGTGTCTATTATATCGAGTACCATTCATAGATATTCTCGTCGTGGTGCCCATTCTTAGCGGAAGATTTTCTGTGCCGTAATGGATGGGTTGCTTTATCGAACGCCGAAGGAGGAGACCATGCCAGATCCCAAATCTTGGGATCGCTCATGACACTGCCCCGTTGTAGAATTCCAAACCGGAAGTCAAGTGGCTCGCCTCCGTCGCCGGGATCGGACGGAAGACGCATATAGTATCGGACGCTGTCAGGGATCTCCTCCTTAACGTGGCTGACCATGATGAGAGCCTGTTCCTCAGATAGGCCGCGGTGCCGTATTTCACTAGCCTTGACGTTGGAGCCCTTGAGCCACGCAGCCTCTGTGGTTGTTGTGCGCCTCGTGATGGAGGTTTTCAATTTGCTGCGCACCTCACCGGCCTCGAGGAAGTGGATACACTTGTCTCTGAGGGACGCAGACATGTTGGAGAATGGCTCGTCAAGGATAATGATATCTGGCTTGTGAATCAATGCACGAATGAAGAGCACAAGGCGTTGCTGGGCAGTGCTAAGTTCTCCAAACCGCACTGAATCGGCATACTCGACATCATAGTCTGTCGGCACGAAATCGCGATTTTTGGTAGTTTTGAGTTGTCCAATATTGGGGAATAATTCCATCGCGCGGTAATTCACACCAGGTGGTTTCTGTTGGGCTGTGACGGCTGCATCTGGGTCTAACTCGGCTTTGAAGAACCTCAGCGCTGCACTTACGTCTAAGTCTCGTTCGTGATCCAAAGTCGGCTTGGCAAGGAATGTTTCTGCAAAGGCAGACTCGATGGCCTGGCGAATGCTAAGTTGACGGGGAAAGAAAGCGTGAATTTCGGGGGACGAGTGACCAAGGCGCGATTGAAGTTCAAAGATTGAAATGCCCGGCTTGCCCGCCTCGGGCAAACGCGAGCGCCCAAAGACCTTAATCGGCAATGCGTAGGTTTGCGGATGATCCGATGTGATCAAGGAGAGTAGCGTGGTTTTCCCTGAACCATTGGCCCCAAGCACTACCCAACGCTGGCCACGACGAACGGTCCAGTGAAGTCCCTCTTTTTTTTGATCGCGGACCATTTGCTTCCAGCCGCCAAGAACGACCTTGTCGCCGTATTGTACACGAACGCCTTCCATCTCAATCAGCGGCTCTCCCCCTTGAGTTGTCACAGCGTTACTCTGACTCGAGCTAGTTTCGATAAGATTGAGATCCCACAGCAGTTGTCGATCCAGAGACCCCGACTCCATAGCCTTTTGAGCTTCCTGCAGTATTTTCTGCTCCTCTTCGCTGAGTGCTTGAGTCTTGCCCTTTTTTGTAAGATGCCTCCAGACGCTCATGACTTTGTCCGCTTCCGACCTTGTGCCCTGGAACAGGACCTGGTTGGAGTTTCCGAGAAGAAGAATGTGAGTGATCCAATCCGGAAGATTATCCTGCGGTCTCAAGGCGAGGATCAATCTCGGCGAGGCCTTCACTGCTAGGCGTTCCAGCAGACCGGAAATGCTCCGAACTGTAGCTGGATCGAGGCCCACTAAGGGAATGTCAACCCCCTTCTCATAGGTTCACTTGCTATGTAGAGTGACTTACTGAAAGGTTCGTCAAGCAGCAGCAGCTCTGGCTCGCTGAGGAGGGCCTTTGCGATCCGCGCACGCCTTGTTTGGCCATTGCTCAGATTGGCGACTGGCATGTCGAGAAGCTCCCCTAAGCGCAAGTCGGTGATAACCTGCGTCAGCAACTCCTCATTCCGGACCGTTCCATTCTCTTCTCCCTCTAAGGGATTCAGGGAGGTTTGACCCCGAAGATACTGGCGGACAGTCCAGTCGGTTTCTTCCCGAAGACTCTCATACCGAGCACTCAGGTACGCGCCCCGAGTGCCACCGATTGCCTCTGAACCTTCCCCACTGAACCCAATGTATTGAATTGCATTTCCCACAAATCGTAACCGTGTATCTTTGGCCGCGATTTCGTCCGTGAGGAGGAAAGGATAACTGCGAGCCGTGGGCGGAAGACAGATGTACTGGCCGCGGAGGATATCGAGCAGCTGGGTTCTTCCCAACGAACCGATCACAGCCCAATGTTGTAGACTTTCCTTGCCCTCGGTGGGAGAAGGAGTTGGTTTCGAAGGTAGAACAAAATTTAAGTTTTGGAAGAGAGGCGGGTTACGGCCTTTGGCCGCATCGTCCGGAGTAGGATAGTTTTCGTAAAAAGTTCCATCTTGGATGCGAATCAGCGGCGGTGCCAAGGAGGAGCCATGGCGAGCAATGCGGATGAAACTCGACGGTCTGAAGTGGCAGGAACGCGATATGGATCGTCTGAGCAGCATGTTCTTAAAATTGTTGTCGCTCCCTCAAGGAGCCGTCGCATACGGCTTGAATGACGATGACTGCTGATCTCCAACGCCGAAGTCGCTCGTGGTCGGCCTTAAGTCCGAGGCTGCAATCCCCGAGCCTGGCCACGTGATCATCCTCAAGTATAGGGAATGATATATTTGAAGTCAAATAGAAAGCAATGCAACCGACCAACAAATCGAAAAGAATCCTAGTTCGCAATCAAAGGCGACTTGATTGCACTCCGGCAGGAATGCGATTGGACGCCTACGTCTTACGCATGCATCCGAGATAATGGTAGTAGAAGAGGACGATTTCCCTCCACTGCGACTAGTACTGGAACATTTCAATATTCCAAATGCGCAAATGATCAACCTGCAGTTACCACCCCCGTCTAGCATGCTACAGTGCGCAATTTACACTGTTTGAAATGTCTTCATCCATTCCCTTCTTTCTACCTACCACAATCACTCCGCCAGATGACAACCGAACTCCGATAAGCGTCGGCTAATATCAACTCCCCTCACTTAATTGAACAGCTAATCGGTAATCGATGTACCTACAGAGTGGATGACTGGGGAAGCGATCTTCGGAATTTCCGAATGTCCCTCATCGGCTGATTTTTCTTCGACGTTCTCTTCTCTTGAGTCCCCTGTTCACGGCCTTCTATCATAACCCCTCCGCAAGAGACGCAAGAAAACATGACTGTTGACCCCCCCACCACTAATGGCTGGTATGTCGAGTGAGGTCCGCCCCTCAACTTGTTATAGATCGCTAGTTTCGTCACTGTTTCCGTAGGTCGGCTCTGACTTCTATTCATGCAGTACAAAGTCACAAGAAGTCTCTCCATTAGATTCAATTCCCTCACTCCCCTTATTTCTCGAGGCACAGAAAGTCTCGCAGCACAATGCGAGGAAAGTTGCGGTGATAGATGCGGCCAAGGGGGAGCAATTCACTTACACGCAGCTCTTAGTGGATACGGCAGCGTTGAAAGAGATCATTCTCAAGGAATTGAGGCTGAAAGATCTGGAAGAAAGACGCATCGCCTTCCTGGTCCCAAATGGATACGACTATGTTGTTACCCAGTGGGCCATCTGGGCTGCTGGTGGCGTTTGCGTGCCCCTCTGTACGTCTTCTAACCATTGACTGCCATGAGACTACTAATATCAGAATGCCAATCAAAGGTACAACTCATCCGGTCAAGGAATTGCTTTACACAATAGAGGACTCGGACCCATCCTTGGTCATTCTGCACCCCGCGTTCGACAAGTTCAAGGAGCCGCTACGTGAGTTAATAACCAGAAATGTGCCATTCATGGCTCTCCAGCCTTTTCAGGCGAGCGAGGACTTCTCATCACATTCTCTGCCTACATTCAGCCCTGTCTCCTCCCTGGATCGAAGGGCGCTGATGATCTACACATCTGGCACAACCTCCAAACCCAAAGGTTGCGTCACAACGCACAAGAACATCACCTTTCAAGCGAGATGTCTCGTCAAAGCGTGGAAGTACGGCCCATCTGACCACCTCATCCATGTCCTACCGCTTCATCACGTCCATGGGATCATCAACGGTCTGACAGCTAGTTTACTCAGCGGAGCTACGGTCGAGATGCACCCCAAATTTGACCCGCAAGTCATATGGAATCGGTGGCAGGATCAGGGCTCTTCTACGATGTTCATGGCCGTCCCGACGATATACTCTCGCTTGGTCCATTACTTCGAGGCCAACATCCGCGGCACAGACAAGGAAGCCGCTGCGCGAAGTGGCGCCAACGCCTTGAGGCTCGTTGTAAGCGGTTCCGCGGCGCTCCCTACCCCTATCAAAACCAAGTTCGCCGCAATCACAGGCCAGACCCTTCTGGAGCGATACGGCATGACAGAGATCGGCATGGCCCTCAGTTGCGGGCTGGAAGTCGAGAAGCGGATAGACGGCAGCGTCGGCTGGCCTCTGCCTGGTGTGCAGGTGCGTCTGGCCGACAAGGAAACGGGAGCAATCATCGAGTCTGCAAACGAGGACGGCATGATTGAGATCAAAGGTGATAACGTTTTCCTCGAATACTGGCGAAAGCCCGACGCGACAGCCAAGGAATTCACTGCCGACGGATGGTTCAGGACGGGGGATGTCGCGCGGCGCGATGATTCGGGCGCATACTTCATCCAAGGCCGGGCGTCGGTTGACCTGATCAAGTCTGGCGGCTATAAGATCTCTGCTCTAGAGGTGGAACGGAAAATGCTCGGCTTGGATGCCATCGAAGAAGTTGCAGTCGTGGGCCTGGCGGACGAGGAATGGGGCCAGCGAGTCGCTGCTGTTGTCAAGCAACGGCCTGGGGTGAGATGTTTGCCTGTCCTGAGCACATTTCTCGCAAAGCATGGACTGACGTAGCTGCAGACCGAGCCGCTGGAACTTCAGAGCCTTCGCGCGCAACTCAAGCAGGAGATGGCCCCTTACAAGATCCCGACAATTCTGAAGATTGTGGACAGTATCGAACGCAATGCAATGGGTAAGGTGAACAAGAAGATAATCGTGCAGAAATACTGGCCTGATAAGGCTTGATCTGGTATCATCATTGGACTGCATTGTATAACGTAAGCAGTCATGAGTTACAGCCTTGTATATAACGATTCAATGACAAAAGACTGAAAGTCTTAATAGAGCGTCTCCATTGCTCTACACAAGCTATACTCTACCATATACCATCTGCAAACCCCAGCGAAGGGCTTGCACCTCAACGTGGTGCTGGGGTCTAGTAATCTTCATATTATTATGAAGATGAAGCTAAGACAAGCCCATCCAGCTTATCGACTCCTCCCATCATTGGCTGCCCTGCCGCTCCGCCGAATTGAAGCCATTCCCACCTCTGGTTTGAATATAGATATCATTGACCTACCTTCCATAATGCCTGGCCACCAACCAAGCCTTGGTGATGCTAAGTCATTAATAATAAGCATCCTCGACCATCTTATAAATCATCTTCCGCCTATTCCATGATAAAATCGGCTTGGTTCACGATAAAATTAGTTCGAAAACCCCTCCGCTCGACAAAGCCTTTGAGGCCACATGGCATGATTAAATGATTCAGACTTGATACTGTCTGTTCATTAATACTGTTCAGTCTTAAATGAGATAGTTATATGAAGGTAACTATGATATTTTTCTTGATTTTAAATGTCTTGAGCTCTGGAGAAAGCATATAATGGTTTAGGGTATGGAGGATTATAGTGGAATGGATCAATCCCTCTTTCACCCCCTCTTGACTGTGCTATTCTCTATATTATTATTATCCTTAACTAAAACACACTTCTAAGGAGCAATGAGTGAGTGGGAGAGTCGGTAGAACCACTCTGGAGGGTGATTTCCTTATTACTCTAAGGGTGCTATAGTGTTGGATAGAGATGGTAGCCCTGGGCTTTGGCTGGCGGATTTCTACACCCAGGCTATAGAGTGTCCCCCATATCTCCTTATAAAATAAAACAAATCTTGCCGATATACCATCTGCAAAAAGAGAGCCTTACATGCGGGTGAGATGTCCAGAGTCTCAACGACCGCACGCCTCTAACTGAATTTAACTAAATAGTACATATTGTAAACCACACAAAAGAATCAGTAAGGACTGTATAACGGAGTATGAATGTTACAAAGAAAAAGAACGCAGGCAAGTGAGCGAGATCAAGGCTTGACGACACGCAGGAAAGGAAGGGTCAAGTCATTGAAGAAAGTCACGGCTCCGTCCGAACCGACGGTGGTAACATTCCCCTCGGAAAGGCCACAGACCGACGCAAAGGAACCATACTGCTTCCTCTTCTTGGCCACCAGCTCGGTATACTGGTCGAGTGGGCAGCTGCTTCCAGGTCCAGAGCGGCAAGACGGAACGGCTATGGACGTCAGCCTCGCTACAGTAATATGACACAGTGGCAGACGCAACGGGGCAAACTTACGATAGACAGCGTCATTCAGGCGGATACGGACATTAACCGAGGTCCTGCCGCGCGATGTGCAGTTGAGACGCTCGAAGGCGATGGTTCCTCGCATAGGGTTCACGCGAGTGCTGACGTAGATCTACAGGCAACCGTTAGACTTGAGATGGATAAGAGAAAACCTAGCATACCCTTTTATTGTCCATTTTATCAGCGGCAAGGGCTTTCTGCTCGTCAAAGATACCTAAGATGGAGGCGAGCTCGTTGATCTGGTTGTCATGCGTGAACGCGACGATGAGAGGAGGGAGCTTGCTCGTGCCGGTGCTCGTTTTTGCTGTCGCCGCTGGGCCATCCTCTAGCAGGTTGACGATGCCCTGGAGGACGGGTAGCATGACGGTCATGTTCTTCCCTGCGCCGGGGCCTGAAAGTGAGAATGCAGTCAGCGGCTGTTCGTCCCATCCCGTCTTTATACTATTCGTTTAGGGGCTACTCACCCGTGCCGTAGTAGTAACGAAGATCCTGACGGTATTCGTACTGACGGATTTCTTCAGGCGTGAACACATCGCACCAGGGGCTGGTGCTTCCGGTAATCTGGGTTTCGAAACCGCAGAGGTACGGGAAAATCGAGACTTGGCTATCAGTCAGAGTGAGATTACCAGAGATTTTCTTGTTGAGTCTTTTGGTGATGGGTGGCAGATAGATGCTGTCCCACGTCGAGGGATAGGTGCCTCCGCTGGAGTCCTTGAAGTTAGGGCACATGTCGGATGTTGCAAGAGAGTTGCCAGTGGCTGCTTCAACGTCCGCGTTAACGACATAGATGTCGCCGTAGGTGGAGTTGGGCCCAAGGTAGCCGCGAGCAAATAGCCTGTCAACTATTAGGAGAATCTAGTGTTGCAGATGGAGGTTCTCTGAAATACCTAGCAGAGTCGATAGTACGCTGATAGTCGTTCGCCCACAGCAAAAATGGCGTGTTGTCTTCGTAGAATGAAGGGTATCGGAAGCGAAGATCCACTCCAAGGTTGTACCTATCAGAGTATTAGCATCGTTCTTTTCGGAAAGTGCTGGCTGACTGAAGATACTTACAGCTCCTTATACCCAGTGAGGGAGACTTGCGATATCTCCTGATCAGGGTATCTCAACACTGGAGCCCAATCAGAGATAAAGCTCAATGACCCAGAGGCTTTGAATTTTGCGGATTGGAACTATAAACTCAGTCATTGAACAATATTATGATGCCGAGGAAACATACAGCATTGTAAAGCGCTTGCCACTCTGCATAGGCACCAGGATCAGGGTATCTGCTGCCATGGCGGACAACGTAGATCGCCTGATCGACGGAGCATTGGTCCGGGACGTTAGACGAGATCTTATTGACATTAGGTCCTGTTTACATAAGAAGATCAGCATCGGATAATGTTGTAGTTTGAAGAAGTATATACCTGCGAACCATGGAGAGTTAGCTCCTAGGTGCTCAAGAGCCTCCAAAGCATGAACCGAGGCGGCATAGCCCAGGCTTAGAAGCCAAAGAGCCTGAATATTCTGTCTCATTCTCTTGTTCTGTCAAATTGACACTCAAATGAGAAATGAAAAGAAGAGAAGAGATCTGGCTGTGAGAAATCTCAGCAACCATGGTGCGATTCGCGGTATTTATGATATCCAACATTGGCCTCCTCGAAAACAAGCGACGAAGACGGACAAATTCGAGCCATCGCGAGTCAAGTGTCTCCACCGGTGCTGTAGCCGAAGGTGATGTCTCGGTTGATTGTTGACGGTGGTGACAAGAGAAAGCGTCTAGTCTGCGTAGTGTTGACTCGGCAGGCCGTTCACCTGCAGGAGATCCGCCACGTGCGTCCATTGGCCGTTTGGCAAACCAAGCACTAGAATATGCATCCAATCTATCTCCCTGAGCATTAGATTAACTCATTACGCGTTTGCACAATCTAAGAGGATGCAGATATTCGAGATAAAGCTCTGAAGGCTTACTATGGTACTCTACCAAGAGGAACCGTACACCAATGCCAAGCACGAAGTGAATGCCGTTACTTTTGATGGGCATCAATCAAGTCTGAAAAATCCATCGAGAATCGCTGTCGCCCTGGAATTCGCCTCCTGCATCCCCAATATCACCGATAAATGCAGTTATGCCCTTTGCTTCTCTCTGCTTGGCCTTCTCGATGTTCTCCCGGTTGAGCACAGCCCACAGGACACCGACCACAACAATATTCGCAAGAAGGTACCCCAGCGCAAATCCATGGCCAAGATAGTAGCGTGGACTGCCCTCGGTCCGATAGAGTTGCGTGCCCATCACAGCTCCCAAATTCCCGATCGAAATCTGCATAGCGTTGGCTATAGCGCGTTTGGTTTGCCCGGAGACGTTGTTGGCCGGCCAAGATAGCACAATGGCCACCGAAGGATAGATGCCGCCAGCGGCGAAGAAGACCCCAGCGTAGGATACGGACGCTCTCTTTGAAGTGAGAAGAAGGATGTATCCGATGCAGGCGAACGCGGTCGACCCAATGATGAACGGTGCGCGGCGCCGAGTGCGTTCGGAGAGAATTGCGACTGTGATTGTCATAATGAATCCCAAGGCATAAGGAGGAACAGTAAGAAGTTGGGCCTTGGCAGCCGAGTAGCCCAGTTCCTTGATAATCGTAGGCTAGATTTATAGTCAGATAGCAACATAATCTAGGGTACCGAGGTATACTAACCATGAAAAGCGATAATGTGTACAAGGGCAGAGACATCGTGTGAAAGCAGAGCCCGTACAACCATACCTTAAAATCCTTGAAAGCATCAAACACTGCCGTCCAGCTGAATTTTTCGTCCCGAGTGGCATCACTGTCGTTCTTCAGGCGGAATTGGATGAAGGCGCGCTCCTTGTCTGACAAGAACTCTGCAGTTGCAGGGTAATTGTAGACCCAGAAATAAGCGACAACGGACATGACAACAGTTGCCAGTCCTTCCTTCGAGCTAGTCAGTTCTAACTGTAATTTGCGAATGCTTGGTATTGCACTGTACTAGGATAAAGATCCATCTCCAGCCGTTGTAACCACCAACACCACGCATATGCGCAATACCCTGGCAGATGGTCAACGGGATGTCAATTTTCCTCTGGTTTGAGTTGCACCAACCCAGGCAAGGATGCCTCCAAAAGCACCAGCGAGCGATGCAGCGCTGAAGAAGAGCGCCACCCGATAGTGCTGCTCATTTCGCTTATACCACATCGAAAGATAGAAGACGACACCCGGAAACAGTCCACTTTCAGCAATCCCCAGGGCTACAGACGCGGAAGCGCCACGCCTCAACGGACTGCAAGGTCCCTTGAGACATGGGCCCCATTCGAGAGTCAGCACTTCTTTTGAACATTTGCAATGTTTATCAATTTACCTGTCCGGGAGGTCAGGTATCCAGCATAATTCTGAACAACTCCAAGAAGCGTGGCAACAATGCCCCAGAGCAATGTGAGGGTCGGGAGCCATATCCGCGGTGTAGTCCTCTTGAGCACGATATTGGAGGGGACCTCGAAAGCGACGTAACCAATGAAGTACAGTGTGAGACCTGTAAGGTACATGTTGCCCGCTATAAAGGCACAATGTCGTCAGCAGCGAATCGTGCGAATAGCCGTGAACGAGGCAACGCACTCATTCCAATATCCGTAGCCATACCCTCCAAGCGAGCGTTGCCAACTAGAAGCCCTTAAGTGAGCATTTGGTAATGATTTTTGACTTGACTCTACAGATCCCAGAATCTACATACCATTGCTTCTGTCTAAGAAGGACAGGAGATATAGTATTGTCAATGGTGGAAGCAGCCGGTAATCCAGCTTACGCAGCAGCGCCTTTTCATTGATATCGAATTGGCCTTCTTCGAGGCTACTCTGGGAAAGTGAACTTGAGTTCTCTGGGAGCGATGCAGGCTTCGAACTTTTCTTTTCCTCAACTTGAGCCATGGTTTCGAGCAGCTTCATCTGGTTGGATGTTGCTCGACAATGGGACAGTTGATGGAAGTTTCCGCTAGAACGGTATCGCCCCGGACAGGCAATAGATGGCCATTAAGAAGGTTCTGAGAGTGCGTCCAAGAGCCACATGGCGGACAGGACACAGCACACCATCCTTGTCGCAATTGCGCGATAGGGACATTATGACGGACGCGGACTGGGGAAAGACGATCCCGCATAGCCAAAGGAACACCTGAACCGTCCATCAAGTTTCCGACAAATAATCTCGATCGATCCATTTGGAGACAGCCAATGTGAAATAAGACACACTTTGTGAAGACATATCTGATAGCCATTCTTGATGAGCAATCAGACCTCCGCGATGACGAGATCGCGGAGTTGGAGCGCATATTCGGGAAGGTCAACAACAGAAAGCGACGGCTATCATCGTCAAATTGGAGGAAGCAGGGGGAAAGGATCGACCGTCTCGTTTCTGTTTTGAATTCGACCTGCACGCGCTCGCACCAGCAGCCAAGCCAGTTTCTCTAGGCTTACTCTCCCTCATTCTGGCAGACTTTATCGTCTCATGAGCTCAAACGGCAGATTATTGTTTTCCACAGTGTCATATCGTTTGTTGTTGGTGTTTTCTGCCAGGTGGAATCACGCCATCCGCACAGGAAATGGAGTCATTGCCAACCATTGTCTAAGAGTGTTGCAGCATTAGAAGCCAGTGACCTTGAGGGATATGCATATAAGATATCTCCCATCTCCTTGATCATCTAAATAGCTCCGAGTCAGTACGAGAGAAAAATGGCTTTAAGAGAGTCATCACTGACTCACATCCAGGGAGTCGTGGCACAGAGAACCAGCCGTAAAGGGAGTTGGAAATGAAATGCTCCTGTTCTCGATGTCCACATTGAGGATTCAAGACTGTTTCGAGGATTCAGCCGCAGAAAAAAAAATTAATATGTTCTTTTGTCCCCCATTCTTCGCCAACCCTGGGCCCTCTCGAAGGCACCGATTTGGGATCTTCATTCTAGAAGATCTGTGGCTTGTAGTTAAGTAGATAGAATGAGAGATCAACGGAGGATGATGATATGAAGCAGAAGTCAAGTTTTATTGAAATGATGCAGAATGATTGAGATGCAGATGAAATGGGTATCTTCCTATGATGGGTATGAAAACTCCGTTGTCCTGTCCCACCAGAACCCCCCAGAAACCTTGACCGATCAACGCCAGTTTGAAAAATCCCAACCCAACCCAGAGAAATCCATGCCAAACCCATAAACCCAAACCATGACCGTCCCAAGTCCACGCCCAAGTAGAAACATAAAAGATGAAAGAGAAAGAAAAAGGAAAAACGAATCATGAGAGAAAAGAAAAGGAAAAGAGAGAAAATGAAAACAAACACCACACATAAACCACACACCACACACACAAAACACACAAAACACAAAATACACCACCAAGCATACAACACATACATAACACGTAACGGGATCATCAGGTTCATAAGAGAGATTCATCTAATCTATAAGGCGAGTATATATAGCTCGCGGAAGCCTACGTGTATGTAAACACTGCATAACTTTTCTGAGACATGACATGAGGTGCTGAAAGAACATTGGAAGAGAAAAAAGAAGAAAGAATTAACGGAATGCTTGACCACATAAGTCACCAGCGTCCCTCTCTTCCTATATAGAACATGAGATGACCTATGGTGCCAGGATCAACGCAAGCAGAGCCATACGGCAGTAGAGGCCATATCTCATCTAAGGGTATAAGTCAGCACAACTCGAGACACTTTGAGAGACAAGAAAGAAAGGCAAACTAACCTGTCTGAAGTAAGCCGCCCGCTGGTCAAAATCAACCTCCTCGGCGATCTCTGCATTCCTGGGCAAGGGGTGCATCACGACCATGTGGCTCTTGGCGTGCTTCATGAGAGCGTTGTCAATGATGAAGCTGTTCTTGAGACGCTCGTACTGCTCAAGATCGGCGAACCGCTCCTTCTGTACACGAGTGCAGTACAGGACGTCGGAGCGCGCAACAATCTCGGGTGTCAGCTCCTCAGACTCAAGCACCAGCTGTCCGGATGCGACAACCGTCTGCCGGACTTCCTCGGGAAGAGAAAGATCCTTGGGCGCAACAAGCTGGACGCGCACATCATAGAACTGGAGCAGCTTGATGAGAGAGTGGATGGTACGTCCGTATCTCAGATCACCGGTGAAGGTGATCGTCAAGCCAGTGACAGTTCCCAGCTCTTCACGGATGGTGAAAAGATCGAGGAATGCCTGTGTGGGGTGCTCGACACTGCCATTTCCGCCGTTGATGACCGGCACTGGCGAGAACTTGGCGGCCGTCTCAGCGCTGCTGGGATCGGGGTGACGCAGAACAACGGCATCTCCGTAGCAACCAAGAGTGCGGACGGTGTCCTGCAGGGTCTCACCCTTCTTGGTGGAAGAGTGTTCGGTGGAGATGGCAATAGTCCGTCCTCCGAGACGCTGCATGGCAGCGTCAAAGGATGCCGATGTGCGGGTCGAAGGTTCGTAGAAGAGAGTGGTCAGAACACGACCCTTCAGAATGTCAAGAACACCCTGGCGCTGAACGCCGAGGCGCATCTCTTGAGCCACCGTGAAGAGCAGGTGCAGGTCAGCACGAGTGAACTGGTTGACGGAGAGCACATGTTTTTGTCTGAAGGTGGACCGCGACAGTAAATCGCGCAGGGAGGAGGAAGTCTGCATGGGGGTATACAGAGGAGGACCGAGCTCGTTGGCAGCCGACTCAGCGGGCCTAGGCTTCAGAGACCGACCAGGAGTTCCAGAAATCGACAGTCTCCTGTCAAGAGAACTCTCTGGGCGCGCCTGGACCATGGGAGACATAGCCTTGACAGACGGAGACGCAGGAACAATGCGATGGCCAGACATGTCGGTTCCCTTGGGGGCATCCTGAGTCACTTCACCATCGAGGCAAGAGGTCTTGCCCTGGAAGATAACCCGCTGAACAGCACCGCGCACGCTCTTGCCGTTGAAGGGAGACCAGTATGGGCTCTGAAAGAGGTATGGGCGGTCAACTTCAATCTCGACAGAACTGTCGGCTTGGTCGTGCAGCTCGAAGATCTTCTTGGGGTTCTCATAAAGGCGAGAAACGATGTCCTCAACGGTAAGGCGACCCTCTGACACAGCGGTGAAGAGCAATGGCAACGACTCGGCAATGCCAGAAACCGGAGAGGCCTGCTTACCAGCAAGCTGGAAGGGGATACTGCCGATGGAGAAGACATCAATGGTGCTCATGTGTTCCCACAGAGCCTTCTGATCCTCAGCAGACGGCAAGAAGTTGCAGTCGGGGAAATCGTCTCTAGAGAGGAAGAGACAGAAGATAGAGACATCGCAAGTAACCTTGAGACCCTTCTCCTTGCTGAGAGCGATGAGGCCGATATCTTCCTTTGAGGTGACGCTCATGACGTGGATGTTGCGGTTGTGGAGGCTTGCCAGCAACAGGATAGACGCGAGATCGGTAGACTTGGCGTCGGTAATCATAGGCTTGCTCGAGGGCCAAGCAGAGAAGTGGTTTGTCACAGCAGTGACCTTGCTGATGTTTCCAGACAGATGGTTGAAAGGAATGAACAAAGAGCCCACCTCTCCGGTGACTTGGCCGACCTGGTCGGAGTTGGTAGAGGTCGCCACAACGGAGAAGTTGAAGTCACAGTAGGGGGCCTTCTGAGCATTCTGCTGGGCAATTCTGAGGGCGCGAGCATCCGTGACAGAAGCCTCGACACCAACGGGCATGACGCGAATCATGCTGAAACCAGCAGCAATCGAAGCCTTGGTGACAAGCTCAAAGTCCTTAGAGCCAGGAGTGACCAGACCAGGGACAAAGGCGGTTATGTTGATCAAGCCAGGCAAGATGATGGTGCGATGGCTGGTTTGATAATCAATGGTCTGCACGTTCAGGGCATAATGGCGGGCAATGGCTTCGATCAAGATCTTGGCGTTCTTCACGTTGGTGACCAGAGGAGTCTGGTAGTCCACAGCCATACGACGAGTCCGGTAACCCTTACTCATGTAATTCGCAGGACGTCTGAAGCGGTTGTTGGATGGCAGGTTGATGTAAAGGTCAATGAGGTTGTTCGCCAAGTGCTGAGTAAGGGAGTACTCGGACTTAAGTTCATCTTCCTGGCCAGGAAGAACCTCCAGGTACTTGACAGGCACTCCATTCTCCTTCAGGAAATCGGCAGTACCGGAGGTAGCAAAGAGGTTGAATCCCAACTGGTGCAACTTCTTGATAGATGGCAGCATCTCCCTCTTCTCCTTGTAAGAACCAATAGAGAACAAGATGTTCTTCTTGGGGAGACGGAAACCAGTCGAGATCAGAGCCTTGAGGTAAGCTTCGTACTTGTCGCGACCGAAGGAAGCAACTTCTCCAGTGGAAGCCATCTCAACGCCCAGAACTGGATCGGCACCGGAGAGACGGGAGAAAGAGAACTGAGGGACCTTGACACCGACGTAGTTCTTAGGGATGGTCACTGGGGGGTACTCAGTGAAGGGCTTGCCAATCATCGCCTTGGTAGCCATCTCAATCAGGTCGACGCCCATGACCTTCGACACAAAGGGGAATGAACGAGAAGCTCTAACATTGCACTCAATGACCTTGATGTCATTGTCTTTGGCAATGAATTGAATGTTGAAGGGACCAGTGACATTCAGAGCGTTTCCGATCTTAGCAGTGGCCTCTTCGATACGTCGAACGGTCTCTGGGTCAAGATCCTGAGGGGGCAAGATCAAGGTTGCATCTCCAGAGTGGACACCAGCATTCTCAACGTGCTCAGAGATGAAATGTCCGACCATGACACCGTTACGAGCGACGGCATCCATCTCGATCTCTTTGGCGTTCTCGATGTACTTGGTGATAACCACGGGGTGTTCGCGTGAAACATCAGCCGCCTGGTTGAGATAGGTAGCAAGATCGTGCTCGGAATAGACTGTGTTCATGGCAGCTCCAGAAAGCACGTAGGAGGGGCGGACAAGCACTGG